TCGTCACCCATTTTTCAAAGGAAATGGGTCCTCATTTTCAGTATATGAAATTTGACTTTATTGCTTTGATGGTGACCCCACCATCCTCCACCAAGGAAGGCACTAAAATGAAAGATTTTGGATCCCAAAGGTTGGGAGAGGAAAAGTGTTAGGCAACCCTCTCTCTAAGCTGTTGTAGTAGCCCCATACGGGAACAATTCAGGCTTAAATTCCAACAAAACACCAATGAAAAGGATTGCTCAAAACTCTTGAAGTATGGACAAAACATTCCCAACTTCACCCAAAATCAATGTGTTAAAAACCAACCCAAAGGCTAAACCATTTTTGCCTCCAAGTCATGAGTTACCGATTCAACTAGTCGGGTCAAACGGTTCAAACAATTCCACATCATATATATATATATGTGTGTGTGTGTGTGTGTGTGTGTGTGTGTTGTAAATATATATTTTATCAATAAATAATGTACAAATATGTTTTAGATATGTAATATGTATTTTTATATTTGATTTATATTTTTTAACTCAGTTTTTAATTTTTTTATTTATAAAAAATATTAAAAATTGCAATTTGAGGCTAAAAAAAATTTTTTTTGCAAAAATAGTGGGGCAAGGCACCGACGACACCTTGGGATGCATAAATCTCGAAAAGTTACCCAAAAAAAAACTCAATCGAACATCAGAGTACAAAGTTATGGCCTTCGAAAGTTTGCATACATTGAGTGTGCAACCCACGACTCGGTGACTGGGGCGAACGGGTCAACGGTTGAACTGGCCGGGTCGAACGGTTCTTGACCGTCTGATGGGTCTTGACTAAACCGGACCCAGAATCTTGTCGGGTGATGGTTCAACCAACCAAATCAACGGCGGGTTGAAAACACTACCCATAATTGATTTAAGGTGATGTTATCGGGTCTTAGGTACTAATTTCCCTAAGACCCTTGCCTCTATACCTCTTTTTCCAAATCTGGAGGAAACTAGGAATGCAAGTTTCCCATGATTTAAATACTTAAAGCAACTCAAAGCTAGATAAAAAACAGAGATCACAACTTCTAGTTCAAATAATAGAATGAGAGGTTTAGTTCTCATATATGACATTGCGGGAAGCTTTCTAGCAGCTGGAAAAAGTTTAGATGTAGTTTGGATGAGCGATTAAATTGGGGAGAATGCTTCTGGTCATAAATTTTCAATTTGAAAGCAACGGAGGTGGATTTGAGGCTTGAGCTTTAAAAACTTTGGAATTTCAAGTATATTTGAAGCATTACAGAAGCTGGGGGAAATGTTATTTCTCCTCCTCAAGTTTGAGATAGACCTCTATTTATAGAGGAAAAGGGAGGGAAATTGTACGAAATTTGTCCAACTACAGTGCATGGGATTCAACAGAGTTCTTTCACCAAAATAGACAAAGTTTTTGAGAGCAAAGAGCCTTTAGTTGACCTCTCCTTCTTTGTGCAATAATTTTCCTCGAGTTTAGGTAGTTTTCTATGAACTTTGTATGTCCAATGAGTATAAACTTCGTGCATCCACTTAAAGCTTAGGGGCATGCTAGACATTGCAATCCTATATTTGGGCCTAATAGTGGCAAGAAAAGCAAAAATTTGATTCATGTACAAATGTGGTTTTTGTCTTTTCTTAGTTTTAAGTGGGGTTTCTTTGGTATTTTTAGCTTTTTAAGCCTATTAGTCACAAATCCATTGGTCCAWGTGTTCTAATGAGTTAGGTAGGGAGCTGACATCAGTTCCATTGAAATGACATTTTCCTAGTTTTACAGTCAAACAAGTGAATTAAGTCATGAAATTTAACATGTTGGGGTTTTTTGGGTCTCTAAACACGATGGTGGGGTTTGATTAGCCAAATAACTCTTGAATGGTGGAGATTCATGGAAGGTAAGCTCTTGATAAACTATATTTGTTAAAGCGGAACCATAGCTTGATGATGGATCAAATGAAGGGTTTTTGAGTTGAAATTTGGTACAATGGCATGGATTGGGATTATGAGGCTGTTGGGAGGGTTTAACTGTGTCAGGAATATATGGATCATAGGTTTTAGGCTCGAGAAGTGTTGTAGTGTTAGACACATCAAAATGGAATCTCTGATAGATAAATGGTTAAACCAAGGAATTTGGAGTTGAAATTTGGTAAAATTGGTTGTTTATAGATTTTGTTTCATGTGATGGAATCTGATCAAGGATCAAGTATGGTGATGTGTCATAATCATGATCATCAGAAGGGAATCATGTGGATTTAATAGTGGATTTGAGGGTATTTGGGCTGAAATTTGGTTTCTTAAGGTTTTGACACGTTTTAAAGAGATTGGTATGGTATGATCAGACATCCAAAATGCAGGAGATGGGTTAAAGAAGGATCAAGCAAAAATCGAGCACTAATAATTGACACGTAAAGAACTTTCACATAAGGCTACAAACCGTTCTTTTCCTCCTCCATTTCATTCTTGTTACTTCAATTATCATTGAATTCAGGATCAAATTCACTAACATCTAATTCCTCTACCATCTACCATAATGCCATTCTTATGAACGATTCCAAATCTTACTAACTTCCATATCTCATTCTTATTCTTCAACAGATCTTAAATAAGTTCAAAGGATTAAGATCCCTTTCATGCTTTGCAATGTTTAAGAAATTCTATGATGAGACTTACATAAGCTTAAAGACTCAACATCCCTTTACATGGGTGTGATAGTTTGTTTTTCCTCTAGTACAATTCTCTTTGATTACATTTAGTTTAGGTTGAAGGATGTTGGATTTGAGGAGCCATAGGAAAAATTTGGTCCTACCTTTTTTATCACAGTCTTCAGTGTTGGTTGGTTGTTTTGAGTTGATGTTATCATTTGAAGTTTTGTCAAGGTCTCCTTCATCCATTACTAGTTTTGTACCTTTTTTTTTATTTCTATATCCATATTTTCTCATCTCTAAGCGGTGTTTGGAACCAATGTCTTTTCCTAAGAGGTAGTTTTTGAGAAAATGGTGCTGCATTGGCATGTTGTTTTTTTAGAAAATATTTTTTTTCTTTTTTTTTTCTATTTTCTACCATTTTTGTTGCTACCACATAGGCATTTTTCAATGCCATGTCAGCATATTATTGCTAACAATAGTGAACAAACAAGAAAATAGGTGTTTTCTCATACCACACCTT